CCTCTGCTTAAGTCAAGAGAATCTCCCTTCCTAAACACTGAAACATTTTTGTACCACCATCTCCTTGCTTGAGCAGCCACAGCCCAGTAACTCATATGGGAGAAACAACATGTGTGACTCTTTACTAGTGAGGCTTTCTTCTGGGGTGGCATGCCTTGACTGTTCAAGAGCAGTGCCACAGTCCTCCACAACTGCTCAAGAGGAGTACCACAGTCCTCCATGACTGTTCAGAGAGTAGGTGAAGAACATTCTCTAACTAGATGAAACCTAAACAATTTGAGGGTTATGGGAGATGGGACCTGGTGGACTCATGATTACATTAGTAAGTACATCCTTAGCCAGAGGAGAGTGACAGAGAGCCCTAATGTCAGTGGGAGATCTATCAGGGAAATGTGAGGACTGAGAGAAGGAATAAATGCAAGAATGAACATGGAGAACCAGACAGGGGTGAAAGAAAAAAAAGATTGAAGCACAGCAAAAAGGCGAGACTGAACCTGTGATTCTTTCTTCTCTAGTGGCATTTAATTTCCCCTTCCCCACTGTCAAAATGTCAGAAATCAACAGGCAACTTTAGTAATACAGAACTGAAAGAGAAAAGGAAGCCAGCAAAGTTCTTAGAAGCTGCTTCACACGGGCAGAAATACCCCCGGCACCATCAATAGGCGCAATTCGTCACAAGCACACGCAGAGGCCAGCGGGTTTTTTTTGTCAGAGAGATTTATTTTAGATTCCAAAATGAGTTTCTAATAAAATAAAATGCTCAAAATGTGCAACACATGCAGTCCTCTGTGGGGTCCCTTCTGCCACTGAATGAGCGCAAGAGCAGGGCAGTGTGGGGAGAGGGAGAAGAAAGTGGGCAGTGGGGTGAAAACCCCATCGGCTGCAGGGGAGCTGGCTTCCAGCCATCTCCTGCGTTTAACTGTCCCACCACTGAAAGGCTGTGAGAGAAGCCCTGAAGGAGGGGCAAAGTGTGGGAGAGACAAGTGGCACTGAAACAGGCAATAGCTACTGGCTCAAATACCCCAACAGCTCCAAAGCATCTGTGTTGCCTGCCACCTCACTGCAGTCTTGTCTTGCCCTGGTACACAGCTTCCTTGGCAGGTACAGAGCTCCCACAGCCTCCTGCTATGTTCATGCCATCCCTAGACCCTCCTGAGAGGTCTGCATGGTGCCCATCTCTCTACATACAGCATAGCTCACAGAGTTTCATCCTCCCATGCAGACTGGGCTCGGTGTCCCTGCTCCCATTAGCACTCAGTTTGCTGGATCTTCTCTTTCTGGTTCTCCTCCATCTCCTTCTTCCTTGGCACAGTGACTGCAACCATCCCTTCCAGCCCTGGGAAGGCAGGGGACCGTGCCTGAAAGGGAAGAAAGGGGCAATATCAGGCATGGGAGGGAAACTGAATGGCACAAGTCTGGGCTTCTCCCTGCCATGGAAGACATGGCCCTATTTCTTGGGCTCCCATTCCCTCCTACAGCCAGGGAAGAACCCCAGTCCCACCCTTTGAGACATGTAGTTTCTTCTGGGGAAGGCTGGCTTAACATTATCCTCTGTGATGTCATGAGCATAAGGAATAACAAAGACAGGACACACTTAAGAGAGAGCAAAGACTGATCTGGGCAATGGTCGGGCCATTGTCAGGTTCAGTGGTGTACCAGATTTTACAACACCATTTCACAGAGAATAATTAAAGGCATGAGGTTCATGTAAAATGGGATAAGAACAAATTAAAGACAGAACCACTTTCCCATCTTGCTTTAACAAGTGACTTTCTAGACAATGGGAAAGAGGTAGATCTCGGGGCCCCTGATAACAGTAAAGTATATGGTGGCACACAGACAATTAATACAACTGGAAAGAGGAGATTAGTAAAAGAATGGCATGGTAGGTGTGATTTCAGCTAAGAGGAAGGGACTGGGATTTTGCTGGCAGGTTCCTGGCAGGCTGTAGAGAAATGATAAGCACAAGTCCTCAAAGATCAGTTGTGGGACCAATCATTAATGGCACAGAGAGCATGAAAGTGCTAACGAGTTTTGTAACTGATAAAATTGAGGAGCCTCATTTGGAAGAAAGAAGATGAAAATGTCACCCAAGACCCAGATATTTTAGGAGAATGGAGCAGTAAACGGAATGACAGGGTGAATGAAATGCAACAATACCCATTGCATGTTGGTAGGCTCAGGAGATGGGAACAGGAATTCCTGATGTGTGGACAATAGCCCATCAAGGGACTCCGGGGAGCAGCCAGTGTTCAACCAATGCAAGAAGAGCAAATGTAATGTCAGAGAATGCCAGCAGAGAGAGGAAGAGAACAAGAGAAGAGCTAATATCTTTGCTCAAGGCACCTCATCTGCACTCTCACAAAGGATGAGCTTACCCTGCAGACTGTGCAGAGAAGGGCATGAGGGCCATCCGTAGATGGAGGACCTGTGCTGCAACAGAGGAGCTTTGCTTGCTTGGCAAAGCAAGGCTGTGAGGGTATATACAAATGCTTTGAGGTGGTAAATGTCCTGTCTGGATTAGAGCTGTTTAAGCTAAAGACTGGACACTCAGGTATCCTACTTCCTACTAGCTGAGGGTTTACAGTTACATTGTCAAGGGGTTGAAGGTTTTGGGTCAGAAAGAGTGGTTCTGATCATCTTTGTCCTGGGCTTGCACAATCTAGATAGTCACCCAGAAACTGTAGATTTCTGCCTCAGATTGTCCTTTACCCTCAGTGCTGATTAAGGACTGATGACGAAGAACCAGTCACAAGTTGCTCTAGTGCTACCCGCAATGTTCTGGGGTTTTTTTAAATGCCCATCTTGTTTCTGTTCTGGTGCTGTCTGTCTTCAGCCTCCAGCCACCAGGATTTGCTAAGAATTTCCATCAATGCTGTTACATCCCTCACCTTCAACTCAAGGCGGGTTCAAGGCACCCAGCTATTTTGCCAGGGCAAGCTCTCCCAACCTGAGATTGCTCTGAGCCCCCAGCCCCTTCTGCACTGGAAGGGGATTTTCACTGTGGGCCCCTTCCAAGAAGCTAAGTAGAAGGCAGAGTTAAATTCCTTTAACTTACATCACAGCTACTCACAAAAGGTGTCCCTTGCAATTCATTTGCAGAGAAACAGTATGAGAACTGCAGAGAAACAGTCTGACCTCATGTGCACAGTTTTTTCCATTGGCCTGCTGGGGAGGGATCGGTCCTGGCCTGGTCTTAGGGATCATACAAGCAAGGCAGAATTTTCACAAGACAAGTTACTGGAACAAGCTGAGCAAACAAGTTGCCAGAAGCAGACAGCCAGGGTGTGAGGGCTGAGCCAGCAACAACAGACCTGCATCGAGATCAGTGTCTGGGGACCAGCAGGATTTATGTGGAACAGGAGACGCTGTTACATCAAAGCATCCAGATAAGGACTAAGAGAGAGGACACCTACAAAAGCCTGGAAATTAACCCTCCTCTATTGCAGCACAGCTTGATCTCTGGGAGAATAAACAAGAAGCTTTTCAAGGCTGGGCTGTGATTGTCTCCTAGGGGGTTTTACCCCTCCTCTGAAGTACCTGACCTGCCCCCAGATGAACGCTGTGGTTAGCCAGACCTGCCGATGTTAAGGACACCTTCAGCAGGCTGCCAGGGCCCCATTCTTCCTCTGGCTGCTGTGTCCTTCAGACATTTCACTTCTGTCTCTAGGGTACCCAGGAGAAGGTCAAATAAGGGCTGATGTACAGGAAAACTAACAGAAATGGGGTGATGGACACTTACCCTTTTTCGTAGGGCCAGAGCCAGAACACAGACAGTAAGCAGGAAGAAGAGGGTGAGCATGAGCCCAAAAGTAACCTGCCCGCTGAAGATGGTGGGAGGGTTGGAGACCTGGGCACCTGTGAAGAGGAACCAGTTAGGAAGGGTGGGAAGGTTGATGTTGTGCTGGGGAAGGGCTGGGTCTGCACAAAGACAGGCAAACTGGAAAAGGGTACAGGGAACTGGAAGGAGCAACAGGAGGAACTGATGAGAGCTAAGACAGGATGACAACAAGATGGGGTCCAGCTGGTCAAAGGGGAGAAGGACTGGGTGAGGCTGAGAAACGAAAGGGCACTAGGGAATTGAATAGGGTGAGAAGAAGGGATCAGTTACAGATCCACGGGACACAGTACCTGTGATCTGCAGCCCATACTCTGCTGCTCCTAGTCTGCCTTCTGGGCCATATACACTGCATTCCCATGTGCCTGTGTCCTTTTGTGACACTTGGGGTATTTCCATGGTAGGGCCAATCTGGGATCTGTGGCCGTCCAGGTGATGGGAGGTGGCCACAGCCAGCTTGCTGTTAGTGGGGGCTGAGTTGAGGTGTTTCCACTGGAAAAATTCATGTCCCTGGGGGTGTGTGATGCTGCAGATGAGCAGCAAGCGAGATCCCTCAGAAACCGGTCCTTGGATGCTCGGAGTGACTGCAGCAAAAGGGAAAAAATACCCTCAGGAAAGACTACAGGCGGGTCCACATCTCTTCCTCACCCCTCCTTCTTCTAGTACATGCCTCTTTTATTATTTCCTCTAATTTATTTTCTTTCTCATCTTCCATCTTAAGAAGAATAACCAAGTTACGCAGATAAACTTCTACTTTCAGCAGAGTCCAGGGCAATGCCCTGAGTAGAGACCTTGTTTCCCACCCCAGGGTGGGAACCTACAAGCAGGAACAACCCATGCTTACTGCACTAACATGTGGCAAGGTTTATCTCCAAGCAGTGGGAGACCCCAGGGGGGTGATGCACCTCCTTGTCTCTTCTCTCACCTGTGATCACTGACAAGGTCACATCCCTCCTGATTGTCTTGCTGCCAACAGAGACAGCACAGCGGTACTGCCCTGCATCACCTGGCCCCACCGCAGGGAGACGAAAGGGGAAGCTTCTGCTGCTTGAATTCTGGGAGGTGCCCCTGTCTTGCAAGCGTCCTCCTGCAAGGCGGCTCCAGTGGGCTGTCACCATCTTGACCCCAAAGGCACTGGGAAGGTAGCTCAGGGTGCATGGTAGATCAGCTGCAGAGCCAGCTGCAGCATAGACCACAGGGTTCGTTGGACCATCAAAGCCTAATCCAGAGAGAGAGGATAATGTGGGGTGATGGCTGGAAAGAGCTCTGCAGGGAGGTGACTGGCCTGGGTAGTGAGGACAGGGTAGGAACCAGGAAGCTGGAGCCAATCGGGTTGGTTAGTCACACCAAAGGGAGCAACTTGGAGAGGTTGGAGTAGCAACACAGAGCTTGAGCTCACCTAGAATTTTCAGGTTGTACATGGCAGAAACAATCTCATTATTGGAGTATCTGAGCTGGCACCGCCAGGAGCCCGCATCACTCATGGCTGGTCGGGGAATGGAGAGAGTCCCATGCAAGGAGCAGAAGGTCCTGGAGGTGGGGACCAGGCGCCCATTGTGGAACCAGCGGGTCTCCAAAAGATTGGCCCAGTGGCTAGAGTTGCAGCTCAACAAGAGCGGCTCATTTTCTACCACAGGGCTGGGCGGACTGAGGGTTACTGCAAGAAAAAGAAAGGGTGGGAGGCAGGGGAAGCTAAGATCATGAGAGCACTACCAAACCATCGCCTTCATACCCCTTACATCCTAGCCTTGTCCCTTGGGCAGTCCTCTCTCCAGAGCAGAGAGAGCAGACAGCAGGAAGCTGTGCACTGCCTGCACTCTAACCTGCCCCGGCAAACACAGCATCCAGACCCTGTCCCACCCTTACAACCTCCCTGGACCTAAAATCAGCATTGTCCAGGGTTTCCATCTTCTCCTACCTGTAATCACCCCCAGCTCCACCTGGCAGCTGTGGCTCTCCATGTTGTATGCCACCTGTGCCTCATACAGCCCGGCGTCCTCCCTCCGGACAGGGTGGATTCGCAGGGAGAAGTTGCCATTGCGTAAGGCGGAGTGCTGGACAGACACCCGGGGCCGCATGGGCAGCGCTGTCTTCCGAAGCCCCGAGGAATCCATCTCCAGCACCATGTGTGGCTCCTGGTGGGCACTGCGAGCAGGAGGAGTGAGCGGCTCGCGTCGAAGGCAAAGGTGAGATCAAGGGTGGGGAGCAGGA